AATAATAATAATAATAATAATAATAATAATAATAAAATAAAATATAGTTAACCTGTAAAGTCTTTGGATTGATCATACACGTGCAATTCCATCGGAGTCTCCATGCCCTGAACTACGACTTCAGTCAGAGAGGTTGTCATGTTGTACTTGTGAACGTTTTGACTGTTCCAGTCAGACCAGTACAGGGCGTCACCAAAAAGAGCGAGTCCAAAAGGGTGCAAAGAATCCAATGATAAGTCCAGTATCAGTACTCGGTTACTTCCTTGTAGGTCAACCCTTTCAATCTTATCAAGGTACGCATCACACCAATACAACTGTCTATTTAGGTAGTCCAGAGTCAGAGCGTTCACCCATAGAAGTCCTGAACTTACGAGAGTTGTCCTGGCAGAACCGTCCATGTTTGCTTGTTCAATCTTTGGCGATAATCCCCTACTACCCCAATACATCTTTCTAAAAAGATAAGATTCATCAGTTGATCAGTTTAAGGAGAAAAAGAATTGAACAATGGCGATGAGATACGAAATTTCATTAAAGTGGCAAGTGGAAAGAGCAATATTTCACAAGCTAGGATAGCTTTTTCTCTTGAGAAGTTGCATTGTTCTTGAATTTCCAAGAAAACCGTTCGAAAATCTTAAAAGAGGGCGAAGGATTATCTCTTAACGGCCTTATCTATTCCAAAGATTTGTCAACATTCTCAAACATCACCAAACATTTTCATGCATGAACGAATACCTCTAAAAAGTCTACAACGGTCAATCAAACTTGTAGAAGAGTTACAACTTGTTAATATTGCTTTGGTTTGCATAGATATTCGATAGTGCGTCAGTATCATTGACAGCTACATATTTGTAATTTCAAGATTACCTTTCTCCAATATCAAGTAGAATGGCTCTTGGCTCTACAACGCTTGACGTGATTAGACTAGTTCTGGATGACCCATCCAACCTTGCGACCTCAATTCTACTGGCTCCCTCATCTGTCCAATAAATATTACGTCCAACATAATCCACTGCCAGCCCTCCAGGAGTTGTCACGTTACCGTACGCGATGACTTCAACTGAAGATCCGTTAGGAAATGCCCTGGCCAGTAATTCCAACGTTACGTCTGTCCAATAGATTTTTCCCTCCACTGGATCATAATCAACAGCCACGGGTCTTGAGATGTTTGCGGTGATTCCCAAAGGATAACAAGGGGTTTCAGGTACTTCCAGAGGAACCTTGTAGATTTCTCCAGTGTCTGCTTCGGCAAAGATTAGGAATTTCTCTGAGCTTGTCTTGTAGAACATTGCTTGAATATATATATATATATATAAATAAGCCTATGAGAATTAGACACCTACAAATTCTACAAAATTATAGAAAGACATTGCTTTTCCGTATTCATTTGGCATTATCTCGAATGTCAACCACTAAGCTGGCAATTTCAAGTAAAAAGATCACAATGAATCAATAGGAGACCACCTTCTTTCACGAGGAAAGTAGTATCTATGGACATCACTAATTTTAACCTGTGATCGACTCTAAGTAGAACATAATGTTAGCATGCTAATCTCGTCACTTCTTTACAAGGTGTTCTCACTGATTCCACGTCTTACATCCAAATCTGCAAAGCCGTGTGTTACATGCATCATCTGAACCACCCAAGTGCTGCTGTTCCAAGGAAGGGTAATGCTCATTACATCAACTTTTGAAACTTGCTCAACTCGACATTGTTCAGTCACGTGAGATAATTAGTGTATGACAACCGTGCTTTTTCTTATGTTTTTAATTTTTTTGTCGAATTTGTCAATGTGGCTGTTTACTTTTTACAATTTCTAAAACATTTTTTTGGCACGACCTTTCTTGTTTACACATATTTAACCTCAATAATGTTTGACACGATTTAGAGTCAAGTCAAGAAAAGCAGCACTCGAATCAAGATGGCGGCCATTCAGAAATTATGATGCAACCACGTCAAATGAGGTAAGCAGACCACGCTATAAAGGGACGGAGATGGTCTTAGAGCAACCGACTAGAGACGAGTTAGCTAAAGTGGTAACTAGTTAAAAAATTGAAGCAGATAAACACATTGATTTCGCACCATGGTCACAGGTTTTCCCATCAGACTTGAGGGCGATGCCGGTTGGACATGCGCACTGGTACCCTTGTGGCTTAAGAAGGCAGAAATCGCTGCAGAGTCCATTGTTATGGGAACAATTATGAAAACCTGATAACAGACAAACGAAATTAGTAACTTCCAGTACAACAGTTTTCCGAATCTTCGTTATCTTGAGCATGATACGTATTTTCTTTAATTGTAGTTTATATATATATATATATATATATATATATATATATATATATATATAAATAATTAATACACCATGATTATACATTCTGTGATTTTTTTAATCATTTTTTTTTAACAGGACTGGCAAATGATTATATCTTGCGACCACAAAGCTCAGTAATTGTTTCATCATTCAATTAATATTTGCGTACTGAGTTAGTTAGTTTTCACAGTTGATGTCGGGAGGCGAGAGGCGCGCTGCTTAGCTAAAGTGATACTTGATAAATTCTACATCCACGGAATGAATAAGAGATTTGACAAATTGCAGGGCTTCACACCAATTCACGTATGTTTTGATAGGAAAAATTAACAACTAAGTACCTGAAAATATCAAGGCTGGATCAAATACATGAATGTCCATAGGTTTTTGAAGGCCATTGACTATGATATCCTGGTTTCCACTGCTTACGTTTAAACGCGAAATGCTCTTAGTATTCCAGTCTGTCCAGTATAGCATGTCCTGGTACACCGCCAGTCCATAAGGATGGATATTAGCCGCAGATGACATTATTAACTGTCTGTTTCCTCCACTGAGGTCTGATACCTCAATTTTGTCAACCCAAGCATCCACCCAAAACAGTCGATTTGTGGCTGGGTCGATAGTGAGTCCATTTGGCCAGACTAGGTTTCCTGTTACAATGGTTTGTCTCGCCGAACCATCCATCTCAGCCTGCTCGATCTTCGGATTGGCGCCCCAGTCTGTCCAGTACATCATGCTGAAAGTAACAGCAAACATTATTCTTTCGGACGGCTAGCAGATGCTTCAATTACCTGCAGCTATTTAATTTGTCTGTTTTCCCAAGCTACTGTTTTTCTGGGAATGCTCGTTAACTCAAAGCTGACAATTTTTTTTTGCTATTTTTTAGGCAGAAGATGTCGCACTTTATCACTTAGATATAAAATTTACGTGCAAAGGTTCTAATTTGATTGTTCCTTGAGCGACGTTCCCATTCCAATAAATTCCAGTATAACAAACGAAGTGATAAGCTGCAACATTGCTTGCAATTTTGCTGATTTCCATAATCAACATTACAAAATGACCGGTTATTAAATAAATATTAACGAGACTGAGGTCTCTACGGGAAAATCTCCAACAGAGACCTTGCCGTATTGACCGGGCGATGGCAAGGTCAATATTGCAAGGCCGAGGTTTGAGAATTTCTCGCAAAGACCGAACGTTTGAGGTTAATAAGTTGCTTGTTATATACATATGGCTTTTCACTACCCGTAATCGGCCAGTGGGCTACACGGGAAAACAAAACTCACGTGCAGAGGTCACGGTTGCAATTCTAATTTCACTGTTTGTTGAAGGATGTTCCCATTTTAGTATGTCTCACCCTAAACCAACGAGGTGATAAGCGGCAGCTATGCTTGCAGTATCGCTGATTTCCACAGTCAATATCATAAAATGACCAGCTATTAATAAAACTATCATATAAAATATCGCAGTCTTATACAGTAGCGAATGCATCTAACCCATTTCTTTCATCAAGTACAATGGCCCTGGGCTCATCCAGTCCATCTTTGATAAGCAGTTTCCTCCCAGTTCCATCAAGCAGTCCTACTTCAATCCTATTGGTTCCTGTATCTGTCCAATAAATGTTTCTTCCCACGTAGTCAATAGCTAAGCCGTCTGGCGTTTCAACATTGCAGCGAAACAAATTTTTCACTGAGGTGGCATTGAAAAACGCGCTGATGATTCGACCTTGAGCAATGTCTGACCAGTACACTCGATCTTCGACAGGGTCATAGTCCAATGCAATTGGGCGCTGGGTCCCGAGATGATAAAACAAAGTCTGGGAGGTGAAATAGTTCGTGTCCAAGGAAACATACTGGGTGGATTTGTCGTCAGCGTCGGCAAAAAGAAGAAACTTTTTGACCTCTGTAATAAGGATGAGAAAGATTTGGTCAGCTTTACGACTCAAAAACAGGCAGGAAGCTGTGTTGTTGTTGTTTATTTCTTTACAAAAATACTTGTTTAGGCGCTTTGCGTTTTTGCTTTACGGCTAGGCGCTATAACGTAACCCATTTTAGTCCACTGTTGATAAAACAATCGGAAGAGAGAATATGACTCTTGCGGGAAGTATGTCCTTGAGGATTGCGCGTAATTAGACTTTCATTTGTATGTTGCTATTTAGTGAATGGGCTATTTTACGTTTCCGGTATCTTATTGACTACTTGTGTTTCGGTAAAGACGTAATAACTTTCACGAGCATGCCACAGTCGATTTACACCGAACATGTTGCAGAGTCAAATATTACTTCATTATAAATTTATTCTTCGTCAAGAAGAATTCACTCTAGACACTCGCATTCTATTGGCTCATAAACGGTGAGATTGAATGGCTTCACGTCATAGCATGCGCCGAACAATATATAAAACTACTCATTTGAAATGTTGGAACGCAGCATACAAATATCTGCACATTACTCTGTTTAAAGAGGAGAAATGACTCGTTACCATTCTTGCTCTGTTACGACATCTGAGCGTGCGAGTTTTAACAGCTATTTGGCGGCATGTTCGTAACAACTCGATTGAAAGCAAATACGTCCGTTTATGGTGGTCAGGCAATATAAAAAACAAGTTTACCGGAAAGACGAACGACTTACTGTCTTCGCATATCTTGCCATCTTGTTTCACAGTTAATCCAGTTGGACATACACACTCGTAGCCGGATGATTTTACCACACAGAAATGGCTACATCCTCCATTATTTATAGTGCAAGGATTTGAAGCTTAAAAAAAAAGACGTTGAAAATATTATAAAGCAATTACAATATTTAGAAAGGAAAGCATATTAGCCTTCGTTGGTTCCCATGCGGGTCCTCTGTCCTGGTCCAATTGGAATGTGGGTGTTGGTTTTTGTGGAGGGAGGAAAACCGGTGGCGAGAACCAACAACAAACTCAACCCACTTATAGCACCGGGCCGGAATCGAACCCAGGCCACTTTGATGTGATAGAGGCGAGCGCTCTCACCACTGTGCCATCCCTGCTCTCGACAAACGGCAGCAGAGAGGGCTGTTATATCAGTAACATTGTAAGAAGTATCTAGCAATGAAAGGAAACACCAATTCTCAGTATCTAGTGGTGTAATGTTACAAGCAACTTTGTTGGTTTCCAGTCCTCGAGAAACACGGTCATAGAAATATTACTACGAACTTGATTCCTTCCATTTCCAGGTGTGTCTTGGTCTCTGCATATTTTAAGGCCGATTTAGACACTTCGGTATTTAAGTAGCACTAAATAAAATTTAGCAAAAAATACTAATAACTAATAATAATAATAATAATAATAATAATATAAAATATAGTTAACCTGTAAAGTCTTTGGATTGATCATACACGTGCAATTCCATCGGAGTCTCCATGCCCTGAACTACGACTTCAGTCAGAGAGGTTGTCATGTTGTACTTGTGAACGTTTTGACTGTTCCAGTCAGACCAGTACAGGGCGTCACCAAAAAGAGCGAGTCCAAAAGGGTGCAAAGAATCCAATGATAAGTCCAGTATCAGTACTCGGTTACTTCCTTGTAGGTCAACCCTTTCAATCTTATCAAGGTACGCATCACACCAATACAACTGTCTATTTAGGTAGTCCAGAGTCAGAGCGTTCACCCATAGAAGTCCTGAACTTACGAGAGTTGTCCTGGCAGAACCGTCCATGTTTGCTTGTTCAATCTTTGGCGATAATCCCCTACTACCCCAATACATCTTTCTAAAAAGATAAGATTCATCAGTTGATCAGTTTAAGGAGAAAAAGAATTGAACAATGGCGATGAGATACGAAATTTCATTAAAGTGGCAAGTGGAAAGAGCAATATTTCACAAGCTAGGATAGCTTTTTCTCTTGAGAAGTTGCATTGTTCTTGAATTTCCAAGAAAACCGTTCGAAAATCTTAAAAGAGGGCGAAGGATTATCTCTTAACGGCCTTATCTATTCCAAAGATTTGTCAACATTCTCAAACATCACCAAACATTTTCATGCATGAACGAATACCTCTAAAAAGTCTACAACGGTCAATCAAACTTGTAGAAGAGTTACAACTTGTTAATATTGCTTTGGTTTGCATAGATATTCGATAGTGCGTCAGTATCATTGACAGCTACATATTTGTAATTTCAAGATTACCTTTCTCCAATATCAAGTAGAATGGCTCTTGGCTCTACAACGCTTGACGTGATTAGACTAGTTCTGGATGACCCATCCAACCTTGCGACCTCAATTCTACTGGCTCCCTCATCTGTCCAATAAATATTACGTCCAACATAATCCACTGCCAGCCCTCCAGGAGTTGTCACGTTACCGTACGCGATGACTTCAACTGAAGATCCGTTAGGAAATGCCCTGGCCAGTAATTCCAACGTTACGTCTGTCCAATAGATTTTTCCCTCCACTGGATCATAATCAACAGCCACGGGTCTTGAGATGTTTGCGGTGATTCCCAAAGGATAACAAGGGGTTTCAGGTACTTCCAGAGGAACCTTGTAGATTTCTCCAGTGTCTGCTTCGGCAAAGATTAGGAATTTCTCTGAGCTTGTCTTGTAGAACATTGCTTGAATATATATATATATATATAAATAAGCCTATGAGAATTAGACACCTACAAATTCTACAAAATTATAGAAAGACATTGCTTTTCCGTATTCATTTGGCATTATCTCGAATGTCAACCACTAAGCTGGCAATTTCAAGTAAAAAGATCACAATGAATCAATAGGAGACCACCTTCTTTCACGAGGAAAGTAGTATCTATGGACATCACTAATTTTAACCTGTGATCGACTCCAAGTAGTACATAATGTTAGCATGCTAATCTCGTCACTTCTTTACAAGGTGTTCTCACTGATTCCACGACTTACACCCAAATAGATAATTAGTGTATGACAACCGTGCTTTTTCTTTTGTTTTTAATTTTTTTGTCGAATTTGTCCATGTGGCTGTTTGCTTTTTACAATTTTTAAAACAATTTTTTGGCACGACCTTTCTTGTTTACACATATTTAACCTCAATAATGTTTGACACGGTTTAGAGTCAAGTCAAGAAAAGCAGCACTCGAATCAAGATTGCGGCCATTCAGAAATTATGATGCAGCCACGTCAAATGAGGTAAGCAGACCACGCTATAAAGGGACGGAGATGGTCTTAGAGCAACCGACTAGGGACGAGTTAGCTAAAGTGGTAACTAGTTAAAAAATTGAATCAGATAAACACATTGATTTCTCACCATGGTCACAGGTTTTCCCATCAGACTTGAGGGCGATGCCAGTTGGACATGCGCACTGGTACCCTCCTGGCTTAAGAAGGCAGAAATCGCTGCAGAGTCCATTGTTATGAGAACAATTATGAAAACCTGATAACAGACAAACGAAATTAGTAACTTCCAGTACAAGAGTTTTTCGAATCTTCGTTACCTTCAGCATGATATGTATTTTCTTTAATTGCAGTTTATATACATTTAATTAATACACCATGATTATACATTCTGTGATTTTTTATTAATTTTTTAACAAGCTCAGTAATTGTTTGATCATTCAGTTAATATTTACCTACTGAGTTAGGTAGTTTTTTCTCGGGAAGCGAGAGGCGCGCTGCTTAGCTAAAACAATACTTGATAACTTCTGCATCCACGGAATGAATAAGAGATTTGACAGATTGCAGGGCTTCACACCAATTCACGTATGTTTTGATAGCAAAAATTAACAACTAAGTACCTGAAAATATCAAGGCTGGATCAAATACATGAATGTCCATAGGTTTTTGAAGGCCATTGACTATGATAGCCTGGTTTCCACTGCTTACGTTTAAACGCGAAATGCTCTTAGTATTCCAGTCTGTCCAGTATAGCATGTCCTGATACACCGCCAGTCCATAAGGATGGATATTAGCCGCAGATGACATTATTAACTGTCTGTTTCCTCCATTGAGGTCTGATACCTCAATTTTGTCAACCCAAGCATCCACCCAAAACAGTCGATTTGTGGCTGGGTCGATAGTGAGTCCATTTGGCCAGACTAGGTTTCCTGTTACAATGGTTTGTCTCGCCGAACCATCCATCTCAGCCTGCTCGATCTTCGGATTGGCGCCCCAGTCTGTCCAGTACATCATGCTGAAAGTAACAGCAAACATTATTCTTTCGGACGGCTAGCAGATGCTTCAATTACCTGCAGCTATTTAATTTGTCTGTTTTCCCAAGCTACTGTTTTTCTGGGAATGCTCGTTAACTCAAAGCTGACAATTTTTTTTTGCTATTTTTTAGGCAGAAGATGTCGCACTTTATCACTTAGATATAAAATTTACGTGCAAAGGTTCTAATTTGATTGTTCCTTGAGCGACGTTCCCATTCCAATAAATTCCAGTATAACAAACGAAGTGATAAGCTGCAACATTGCTTGCAATTTTGCTGATTTCCATAATCAACATTACAAAATGACCGGTTATTAAATAAATATTAACGAGACTGAGGTCTCTACGGGAAAATCTCCAACAGAGACCTTGCCGTATTGACCGGGCGATGGCAAGGTCAATATTGCAAGGCCGAGGTTTGAGAATTTCTCGCAAAGACCGAACGTTTGAGGTTAATAAGTTGCTTGTTATATACATATGGCTTTTCACTACCCGTAATCGGCCAGTGGGCTACACGGGAAAACAAAACTCACGTGCAGAGGTCACGGTTGCAATTCTAATTTCACTGTTTGTTGAAGGATGTTCCCATTTTAGTATGTCTCACCCTAAACCAACGAGGTGATAAGCGGCAGCTATGCTTGCAGTATCGCTGATTTCCACAGTCAATATCATAAAATGACCAGCTATTAATAAAACTATCATATAAAATATCGCAGTCTTATACAGTAGCGAATGCATCTAACCCATTTCTTTCATCAAGTACAATGGCCCTGGGCTCATCCAGTCCATCTTTGATAAGCAGTTTCCTCCCAGTTCCATCAAGCAATCCTACTTCAATCCTATTGGTTCCTGTATCTGTCCAATAAATGTTTCTTCCCACGTAGTCAATAGCTAAGCCGTCTGGCGTTTCAACATTGCAGCGAAACAAATTTTTCACTGAGGTGGCATTGAAAAACGCGCTGATGATTCGACCTTGAGCAATGTCTGACCAGTACACTCGATCTTCGACAGGGTCATAGTCCAATGCAATTGGGCGCTGGGTCCCGAGATGATAAAACAAAGTCTGGGAGGTGAAATAGTTCGTGTCCAAGGAAACATACTGGGTGGATTTGTCGTCAGCGTCGGCAAAAAGAAGAAACTTTTTGACCTCTGTAATAAGGATGAGAAAGATTTGGTCAGCTTTACGACTCAAAAACAGGCAGGAAGCTGTGTTGTTGTTGTTTATTTCTTTACAAAAATACTTGTTTAGGCGCTTTGCGTTTTTGCTTTACGGCTAGGCGCTATAACGTAACCCATTTTAGTCCACTGTTGATAAAACAATCGGAAGAGAGAATATGACTCTTGCGGGAAGTATGTCCTTGAGGATTGCGCGTAATTAGACTTTCATTTGTATGTTGCTATTTAGTGAATGGGCTATTTTACGTTTCCGGTATCTTATTGACTACTTGTGTTTCGGTAAAGACGTAATAACTTTCACGAGCATGCCACAGTCGATTTACACCGAACATGTTGCAGAGTCAAATATTACTTCATTATAAATTTATTCTTCGTCAAGAAGAATTCACTCTAGACACTCGCATTCTATTGGCTCATAAACGGTGAGATTGAATGGCTTCACGTCATAGCATGCGCCGAACAATATATAAAACTACTCATTTGAAATGTTGGAACGCAGCATACAAATATCTGCACATTACTCTGTTTAAAGAGGAGAAATGACTCGTTACCATTCTTGCTCTGTTACGACATCTGAGCGTGCGAGTTTTAACAGCTATTTGGCGGCATGTTCGTAACAACTCGATTGAAAACAAATATGGCCGTTTATGGTGTTCAGGCAATATATATATATATATATATATATATATATATATATATATATATATATATATATATATAAACAAATTTACCCGAAAGATAAACGACTTACTCTCTTCGCATGTCTTGCCATCTTGTTTCACAGTTAATCCAGTTGGACATACACACTCATAGCCAGATGATTTTACCACACAGAAATGGCTACATCCTCCATTATTCACAGTGCAAGGATTTGAAGCTTAAAAAAAAGACGTTGAAAATATTATAAGGCAATTACAATATTTAGAAAGGAAAGCACATTAGCCTTCGCTGGTTCCCACGCGGGTCCTCTGTCCTGGTCCAACTGGAATTTGGGTGTTGGTTTTTGTGGAGGGAGGAAAACCGGAGGCGAGAACCAAGAACAAACTCAACCCACTTATAGCACCGGGCTGGAATCGAACCCGGACCACATTGATGTGATGGAGGCGAGCGCTCTCACCACTGCGCCATCCCTGCTCCCGACAAACGGCAGCAGAGAGTGTGATCATTATATCAGTAACATTGTAAGAAATATCTAGCAATGAAATGGAAACACCAATTCTCAGTATCTAGTGGTGTAATATTACAAGCAACTTTGTTGGTTTCCAGTCCTCGAGAAACACGGTCATAGAAATATTACTACGAACTGGATTCCTTCTATTTCCAGGTGTGTCTTGGTGTCTGCATATTTTAAAGCCGATTTAGACACTTCAGCAAAAATACTAATAACTAATAATAATGATGATAAAAAAGCAATGGAACTTAAATCGATAATTTGTTGGCCAAAGTTGCGCGGATGTCCGTCGGCACCACGTCATGCCGAAAAAATTGTCACAGCGGTTGGCATACATAGCCCTAGTCTACAAAAGGCTCTTTAAATACCTGCAGGTTGTCGGGAAGCATCGTAAGCTACGATGCCCATGGGTTGTCCACCGTTGACACTGTACTTGCGGATAATTTTTCCAGTGGTAGCATCCAGCTGATGGATGTCTTCAGCTGTAAGCCAATCGGTAAAAAACAAGAAAGGCGGGATAAGTGTCAGTCCAAACGGATGCAAGCCGCTGAGGTGATTAAGCAGCTTCTGGTTGTTTCCATTGTAATCGACGGACTCCACCGTGTCATATCCCGCATCCACCCAAAAGATACGCTTATTTCCTCTGTCAAGTTCGATACCGTTTGGATAATACAGATACGTTGTTACGATGGTTACTCTTTGGCCTCCGTTCAATGAAGCTTTTTCTATTTTTGCGTTGATTCCCCAATCAGTCCAGAACATTAAGCTGTCGTGAAAAACAAGCATCATGGTTATATGATAAATATAGATCCCCTGATTTGATGGTTAGATTTTTTGTTCGACTGCTCTTTTAAAACAATGCTTAATGCTATATTTCTCATCTAAACCCAGCGCTGCCGTATGGATTCATATATAGTCTTATTAGTGTAAACACTCTCTCGTGTACATGAAGAAAGACGTCTAAGGTCTTTCTAACTATCCCCGAAAATAAACCCGCCAAATCTCAAACGAAAAATGTTTCTTTTTTGGACTCAGTTTGTGTTTTAAGTTCTCATAGTGTGCTTATGCTGTACATGCATTAAATATTTTTTTGTGTGTGTGTTTTACGTTGTCAAATTGAGCGAGTGTTACTTAATTGTCTTCTTTCATGCGTGTAAAATTTTACAGACGTCAAACTCCTGCTGAACACAAACCTCCTGCCGAATTTTGCCTCAAGCGCAATATTCTCTGAGACATTAACCCTTGAGCCCCTTTGAAAACAAGAGGGAATCAAATAGAGCCGTTTGGGCAAGTAGTTGTGAAATAATAATAATAATAATAATAATAATAATAATAATAGTAATAATAATAATGGAGCAGTTGTAATAAATGTGATTGTGAATACCCGTCATCTAGGTCCAGAGCTATTCCTCTGGGTTCCTCAAGGCCCGAAGAAATTAAAAGAGCTTGGTTCTTGCCATCTAAATCTGATACTGATATGGTATAGTACGTCGTATCAGTCCAATACAGCTGTGATGCCCTCCAGTCCACCGCTAGTCCATCACAAACTCCAATGCCAGTGACAATTGTTGTCGTGCTCGCTACGTCAATCCGAAAACGTTTGATGTTTTTTTCTGTAACATCACTCCAGAATATGTAACCCAAGTTGAAATGAACGTCTACAGCAACAGCTCTTGTTAAACCCGAAACAACTGAACTTACAGCGGCAGTGTTATAATCCACGGTGACAATATCTGATGTGTTTGCTACCAGCAAACATGATGGACTGCATAAAGTGGCTAAGGACCAAACGAAATGAAAGAAAAGTGAATTACTACAATGTACTTGTGCGAAAACAATAAAACTAATCGATGTCGATATTGCTGGCAATTCAAAAAAAGAAATTCAAGAGGAAGAGAGAGGGATGAAACTATTTTTATTTGAAAGCATTCCTTAACCCTTTTAGATTATCTCTCGCCTGCATGATTTTTCCCCAAAACCAGCAGTTAAATGCAAGAAATACCTATCTCCAGACAAAACCCTCGCTTAGACCATGCCAGACAAACATCTCCTTCCAATCTGAGGTATAGAGAAGATGATTAATATCTGCAAACTTTTTATAATTCGCATAGAGCGCACAAATGTTGGTCGTTTAGCCCAAGTCGATTCAGTCCCCTAGCCGGTTCTACCCACCCCCACCCCAATATCATTTCGACGCTTCACCGTTCACCATCAAATGAGCGAATTGCCCGCGAGGTCAGACGAGACTTAAAATTAGTTTCAATGTTTGGGAGCTCTAGAGAAAAACTCCATAGAAAGCTTTATAATTAATTTGGTAAAACAGCGTGAAAACCTTTCTCTGAACATAAACGCGCGTAATAGTCTGCTACTGGATGTATAAACAAAATCGCACAGACTTAAATCTCGCCGAGTGTTTATATATCTCTCGTCAACCTACATTCTTTACTTTATCTACTGAGTGGTTACGAGTTGTTTTCATTTTCTTTTTTAAATGGAATGACAGTGAAAGCCAGCAAGAGAGATCGTTATTGTAGTGACATGCTCTCGAACAAAGAATAAGAAAAAGAACGAAAATCAAACAAAAAAAAACAAAACGTATCCAATCTTTACATAACAAAAAATAAATATACCGACAAGTTGTCTGCTTAAATTGGGTGAGTCATGCATTAAAGTGCCACTAACCCCAATATTTTTTCCTTTAATAAAATCTACTAGTTTCCCTGATTACTTCAGCGAAAAAATTATTTCGATTGATAAAATCCCTGCGTTTCTACACGCGTTTAAACATGTAATTCCTATGTTCACGACTGCGCAAAGTGGAATCTGGGTAGGGCTTTTAGTGACGTCATATCGGGAACCGTTCCTCAAAGACGAAGCTCAAAGAACAAAACAAGTCTGTATTCGGAATGGCCACTGAGAAACACGGCCGGATTTATATGACCTCCGGCGTGCGTGTGTTTTTATTACATGTATAATCTACAAATACATAGCTAGTTCACCAGTTCGAAGCCTCAATAATCTTATTCGCCTCGTTGTAGAACATAGGTTTCGTTTACTATTTGTTCAGGAAAGTCTATTTCGAGTTAAAAAAAAAAAAAAAAAAAAAAAAAAAAC